TAATAATAATAATAATAATAATAATAATAATAATAATAATAATAATAATAATAATAATAATAATATTTTAGGTAGTGAGTAGCCCAGCAGTGTGCGGTTGTTAACAAAATGGCCGCCACTTCCCTGCGTTTTCGAAGTGTCTGTGAAGAAGATTTAGATAATTTACTAGTCAAGACGTTGATTTATACTAAACAATTAGATTATTCGCTCTCGATTTCTATGCGTGATAATTAACTCGGGCTGCGCCTTCCTCAACTCTCACGCGATAGAAATCTAGAGCTCATAATCTAATTGTTTACGCGTAATGAGTAAACAGATGTAACTTTTACTTTGCGCGAAATCCATCTAGTGTTTCTAAATTGGTTTCTAGCTTTGTTTTGACTCATTCCAACCTTCGCTAGTTCACGAGAGTCGCTTATTTCCGGTCAACTTTGTTGTGGCCAGTCATTGATCTTACATTTTGTTTCGTGACAGGGTCACATGACGGTGTTGTCAAAGTCTGGGACATCAGAGACGGTTCGTTATTGCTGACCGTGCCTGAAGCTGGGCAAGAGATTGGCAAGGTCGCGTGCTGTTGTGACGATGGCATCATCGTGGTTTCCTCTAAGACTGGAATAGCTGTGATCTCGTTTGAAACCGGTGAAATTCTTCATAGGTAAAACAAAAAAAAAAAACGATTTTCTGTGTTTTTAAAGTGTTGAAGACCTGCTTTCTTAACCAATCTGTGTTGGACTGTCGGTGACCAACACTTTTTTCACATTTTTTGCCTATTATAGAGTGGAAACCAAGTATTTTGAGAGCTTTCCTCCACTCACAATTGCTGGCGAAAACGGAACTAAAGTTGTCTTCTTCAAAGAGAAGGGTTTGCATGTCATCCTAACGTCTACGGGCAAATTTTTGCACCAATTTTCAAGCATCAACCCCGTCGGCAATGCGGGACAGAACAGTTTGCTCACCTCCTGGAATGACATCGTACTCTGTAACTCAAAACAAAACGAAAACTCCTTGAAAGTGATTGATGCCCACGACTTCAAAATCCTCCATTCAATCACGGTGTTCGATGAGAAAGACGAAGAAAATCTACTACACCTCACTCAGATAGCGATGAAATCCGAAAACGAGGTTCTAGTTGCCAAGAAGATGAAAGTTGATCTGTTCTCGGTCGATAAAGGGGAATTGTTACGAACGTACAAGTGCAAAATCGATGACTGGGTTAGAAACGCGTCGCTGGACCCCACACAAAATATGTTGGTTTTTCCTAAACACGATAAAGTCGCTCTAATTGATCTCGAAAGCGGCGAGAGAAGGGATGTTTTACCACACCCAAATTACGTCTCCAGGATTTTTTCGGTGGGCTGTGATGGGATTCTCACTTCCGGAGGTGACAACGTTGTAAGAGTCTGGGACCTAACTCGAGAGGATGTTCGTAGACAGGTCGAAAAGCCTGAGACTTTATTAAACATTTATTCCATTCCCGGCGACTCCAGACACTTGGTAACAGTCGGCCGATTGGGGATTGATAATTTTTGCGTGACTATTTGGGATTTGCCTACGGTGTTACCAGTGCGCAAAGTCACTGGTATTACAACAAGCTACCTTCAGATCATCAATGACAGAAGAGTTGCTATCCGTGTCAACAATAGCGTGGCGATCGTGGATTTGTGCACGTGGAAGGTTGTGACGGTTCTAAAAGGAAAAATCTCTGCGGATGATCTGTTGGGCGTGGAAGACATCTGTGTTGTGAACGACAGAACAGAGATTCTTACTTACTCGCACGATCGCAAGAATTTGACGCTCTATGACATCGAAACAGGCGACCAAGTCGCCGTGTTAAAATCGGGCACATCCCAACATGACATTCGTTCCTTCCTCGTAAACTCAGAAGGAACGGTTGCTGTGTGGAACGTGGCCCGGCCATGTGACCAGTTGCAGGTGTGGGACCTGGAAACGAGAAAGCAAATTTTTGTGATCCAGAGGGAGGGGTGTGAGAGGTTGACCAAGACTCATGCGGGCTTTACGCCGGATGGCCAGTATTTCGTATCGTGTGCTAAAAAGACTAACAAAACTGACTCTATCCAATTCTCAGCGGTGTGGGATGTACAGAGAAGTAAGTACAAATATTCTCTTGATAAGAAAATAGATTGCCATGTCCTCTAAGAGTAAAAGTCTTCTTTGCGTTAAAGAAAACTTTCCGTTGGTACATAGCACAACTTGTTCAAACGTTTTTCCACTGATGTCATAAAAAATTGATAGAGAATTATCTTTTGAAGCACAAGGTTATGTTCTCTCCAGACTTTCACATGAATGTCATGCCTTCCTTCTTGACAACAGTGATGAACAGTGAAACAGGACTTGATCTGTTTTTTGTCGTGCTATTCTTTTCCATTACTGTTTGACATTATGCTGTTGGTTTTCGAAACTTCTTGATCAATCAAATTCTCCTAACATGTACAGCAAGATCAGTACAAAGGTCAGTATGGAGAATTTGCACGTCGATAACGGGGTGTTTTTGAAATTCCAGAGATGCTGGCGCACGACTTGCGGTATACAGATGATACAGACACCATTGCTGTGAAAGTTATGGACAACACCCGTGCGGTGACTGCGCACAAGGACTTGAACATCGTCTGCTGGGACATTGAACAAGGTTGGAGATTTAAATCCAGCCTCTCTTGTTCCCTGAAAAGAAGAAATTGTATTACAGCTGTATTTTCTAAACAAACGCGAGAGGTTTCCTAAAGTTGTTTTCAATTATTCTTCTCTCGAGTCTTCATGCAAGCCTTTTCTTTTAATCCACTTTATACTTCAGTGGGTTTTTTTAATCGTTACGCAGTATTTCGTTTGTAGTCGTCTTTGCAGCTCAGTTTTTGGAGACGTCGTGCAACCCAGTTCACAGCCGTTGTAGAAGCTGTAACGCAACGCTTTTCCCGTAGTTTGTTTTACAGCACTTTTTCTTATGTCACTCAATGCTGTTTTTCCGTGATCTCGTTTGCAGTTGTTTCTAGGGTTGGCAGGGAAGGGTTGGCACGTCCTTCCTCGAAAAAACACAGCTGTTTTTCTGATTAGTCGAAAAACTGCATGTGATAGCTACCTTTCATTTTCAGTTTCCGGATTTAGGAGTTTATTTTCGTGGTATTGAAAGGTATTTCTTTTCTTTTTTTCTGACGGTCAATTGAGTGGCTCCAAAAGGAACTTTTTACACTTTTTAGCTAACGTTTTTCCTTGTTTTCTTTTATTTGTTTTGTTTTGTTTTTTTTTTCAACACTGTAGGGACCCTTCTTCATATCCTTCCCAGCAGCCATTTCAGTAACCTGCGCATTGACGTCATCGCCTCAAAAGGGGACATAGTGGTTTCCTATGACGAGAAGACGCTGATCATGTGGGATATGAGAGCGGGCGTGCAAAAAGCCTCTTTCACGGCAGACAAGGTGAGAAAACCACCGTTTTACTTCCACATGCGCCACGCTTACTTTTAAACGTTTTGGTGACTAGAAACACCAGTTGAGTTTGTTTTTCCACAAGGTAAAAACGAGAAAACGGGAACCCAGTCAAGTGCTACTCAGTGTATAAGCGTGCTGTTAGTTATGAGTCACTCAGGCGTGACGCGTCCTGTCCAGTTACTCGGGCGTGCGCGTAAACAGAGCTATTTTCTGTTCTCCGTATTGCCTGTCTATTCAGGCTGCTTTAAGAGAAAGATATGCAAAGGAATTGGAAATGGTTGCTTAGAACACCTCGCCATAGATACTATTTGATACCAAAACTCGGTGTCAAAAGTACGTGAACAGCATTAAGTGTGACTGATAAGCTCAAAGTATGAAGAACAAATTAACATGTTGAATTAAACAAGTAGTTTGATATGTGTTACACGTAAACCTTTTTACCAGTGTGGTCGTTTAAGTCGATATTTTTCAAATGATTACCTTGTTATTTCGACGTGGTTGGGTCTTACTGTCGGGTCATGTCGTCCGAGAAAACTCTTTACGGAATTTGTTTGAAAAATGTCCAGGCTTGTCTAAATAGCGATCGAAGTCGAAACTTGTGCCTGTGCTGTGGTTCAAAAAGTCAAAAGAATGGCACACTGCTACTTGCAGTGCCACTGGAAGCGAGTCACTGACTAAGTCAGTATCCTACAGATTTTGGTGAGTGAAACGAGGATACGTTTATACCGAAACACTCCAGTGGAGGTTTATGAAAGTGTCTCTCGACCGTGCGCGAGGCATCGGGAGTGACTAGATATGGAAAGCTGGGTTGGCATTGGCGTCCTAGAAGGGTACCGAACCAGAGCTGTTACGGATATCACCAGATCAGCCACGAAGGCGATGCCATGGAGATATTCGTAATAGCACCCTACGCTTCCGGTTACCTGATGCGACTTCTTACCTTTATATATTGATTGCTATTGAATTTCTGGTGCTTGTGGTATACGAATTTTGATTTTCATATTTAATTTTAGAATTGTTGTAGGGAGAAGTATCATTGGCTTCGAAATAAATGAAGATCGACGTTTTTGTCAAAATGTCGAGGCGAATTTAGTTTGGATTTAATTCGAAAAATGCGTGTGCGCATGCGCAGTAAACTTTTAGGATTTAATCGCTTCACTGTTGAACAGATATTCCTTTTTGATCAAATTATATTATTTTGGCTTTTTTCTCGTTAAGTGTACTTTTTGATCGAATGTAGCAAAAAACACTATTTTCGTGCTGTATGTAATGTTTTTGATAGGCCGGCGTCAAAAGCGGTAGCTTTCAAGAAATTAACTGGTCAGTGTGAAATGTGATCCCTCTACCTAATACTGTCATTTTGTCTGTCTAGTTGTGTAATAGAGTATTTTCATTCTTTGTTAATCTCCAGAGAATATCTTTGAATACACCAAGCGTTAAAATACATGTTTTGCTTAAGTTTGGTTAGTATAGCTAGGAATGTGTACTACCTGTAAACTAGCTGGTGAACTGTCGCAGCGGAGATGGACATTAACTAACTTGATCCTGATTTCGTCCGCTTTCTTTTTTGAACCCCCATTAAACTGTTCTGTTTTCTCATCAGTTTCATGGTCAGAGAACACATGTCCATTTCACCTGCACCTCTTGGTTTTAAAAAACCCCTATTTTGATTCGTTCTTGTTAATCTGCACTTCTTTTGTTCTCAAGGCTAGGGGCACTGTTTGTGTTATTTACTATAGTTTCGTTTGGTCAATTATAAATAACCTTGTAAACGGTGTAGGTCACCTTTGAATGTCCTATTCGCTAAATATAATCCAGTGATATTGGGGTAAAAAAAAAAAATTGCGATATGATATTATAATTTATGTTTTTCTCGCCGCCATATTTTTCTCCTTCGTGTTTCTTGACAGACAAAATTCTGTTTCTCATTTTACAGGTGACAGCTGTTCATCCCGTGGGGGAGGGTCAGTGTATTGCTCTTGGCTATGAAAGTGCTTTGCCCTTAGTACTTCTTACTCTCCAGGGAGGGGACATTAAGCCGTACGAATTCCCTACCGAGGGTACAAAGGCCATGGCTGGAACAGGTATGATGTGAAATCAAAATGCTTTTTTTAAGACTGGTTTACCTGAAGACAACGATTTTGTTTCCATTGTTTAATTCTTCGAGTCGGTTTATCTAAAGGCAATGCGTCATTGTAAAGCGAGAATCACGCAATTTTTGCCCGCTTCTGGTTTCTTTTTGCTTTCTTTTAATTATTTTTAAATTATTCATTTTAAATGAGAAAATTTGTCGTCAGTGACTCAAAACGACGAATTTTTTTCTTTTTGAATTTCTTGGAAGCCAGGAATCGATCGATGGTTATACTTAATTCATGGTTTTTTTAAATATGTTTTAAAGTTTTTCACATTTACATGTAAATCTACTACTAATTTGATGCCGTTTTTGTTTTATGGCCTTCTGGTCAAAACTTTATATTAACTGAAGAAGATAAAAGCAGAAACCGACACAACGTAGGATGATTTTTTTGAAGGTGTACTATATTTCGGCTGGCCAAACCAGCCTTCTTCAGGTACAATGAGAATTTTACATTAGGACGTGTTTTGGACGCTGGTTTGGCCAGCCGAATTATAGTACACCTCCAAAAAAAATCATGCTACGTTGTGTCGGTTTCTGCCTTTACATTCTTCATTTTATATGTGAAGCCGATTAGATCACTATTGATCCAACGTATACCAGCAGGATCATCGTTCCGGTTGCTTGCTTAAACATTTTGCGTTTCTTAATTTCTTTTTTCCAAGATGTGAAGATAGAGTTTGAGGGCATCAAATGTGCGCCAGTCGAAGATGATAACGAAGTTAGAAACGACAGCTATGGCAAAGTATAAGAGCAAAACGGACAAGACACGGCTGAATAAAGGCTGCTTTGTCAAATAAGTCTCCAGCGTCTGGCAGTGGAGCTCACATGGCCAGCCAAAGGAGGCCGCTGATTTGTTAATCAAGTTCATAGCGTCACGTGACCTTGACTGGCTAAAGGCTGGACTCCATGTGAACTGGTTTGTCATGGAAGGCGGATGTTATATCAAATAATTGACCAGTGGGAACTAGTCACACAAGTTGATAGCGTTGCGTGACTTTGAGCAGCCGACGGGGACCGCTATCGTCATCAGGTTTTGAACTGTCTGCGTGGCTGGCTGAAGCCTGGACTCCATGTGAACTGGTTTGTCACGGAAGACGACCAGCTGAAAGTAAAGTGGCTGTTATATCAAATATTTGCCTAGTCACGCAAGCTGGTAGCGTTGCGTGACTTTGACCAATGAGGAGAGCTTGCGGTGTTTAACGCAATCACCGGTCTCTAGCTTTGCGTGCAGGGTGAAACGAACTTTTTAGATAAATATTGAGAAAATAAATTTGGAAAAAAAGTTGTAAAGCATGCCGTAATTCATGTTTGCATCGTTGGTGGCATAGCGGCATTGATATAAATATTTATTTTTTTATTCTGAAAAAGGAAATGTTGATTTCTCAATTTCCTATGTTTATTACTTGTTTTGTTTTATATTCGTAAAGGATTTTTGAAAGCATTAGATTATGAACGGAACTCTCTTCGAAGTAAAATTGGCGCCTTTTTGATGAAGTTCCGGTTGCTAATTCGTATGTAATTTCTAGGCATGTCGCCATATCTTTCAGATTTGCGGTTTTGCAGTCTTAGATAATCTTGATTAACATTGAACTTATATTTAGAAAAGTCACCGATTGCAGTAATTGCAAGTTTGTAGAAATAAGACACTGAAATGAGTCCATATTTTCAACAAAACAAACACTGACCATACGTTATGTTTAGCTGGTTCTCTAAATTGAATGCATTTTATTTGGTTAATCTAGATTTGCAAAAAAATAAACACTGGAAAATTTATCAGAAAGGAAATGTATTTAAATATTAGCAGTTCTATCATTTAACGCAGAAAAAAAATTCTGCGAAATTTTACGCGGCGCGTTTGTTCTAGGTCTTTGCGAAATGTCAACCACGCGAAAATACTCCGGTAACAGGGATTGCGAGGCGACTCTTTTTATAAAATATTCTCGATCATATGATACACCCGTACAGGTTTTCCGATTTTAACAATATGGTTGCTTTCCGTGAAAACGTAGTTGATCGGCGCTTCGAAAACTTGCATAGCAGTTCGAGATGGTTTTGAATTTTCTTAGCAAACTTCCCAGGTAGGTTTTTCAGAGCAATAATAAATATTTTTTTTAGGACTCAGCATTGTTATTCAAATCCAGAAACTTCGCCTTCTCCTAAACAAGGCATAACCTCAGATTCAGGTTAAGGCTGAAAATGGGCGAGTGTTCATTTGACAAACAGATGTATTTCTATGTATATAATTTTCTCGAAATGTCATGTTGCTTTCTATCTCATTTCTTAATTAGCCAAGTAGTTCAGAAAGGCTGTGTTGCACTGACTGTAGGGGGAGAGAATTTCGGGCAATTTTTTAGTTTCTGTCAGAAATTGCCTTTCATCCACGTTGGAGTCTTGGATAGCTTTGTAATGCAAATGAGAAAAGTTAATCGAGAAAAGGGCTATTTAAATAGTCTCTCATATACGGCCGGCAAACACAGCTTGCTTGCTTTCACTGTTTCCTTATTCGTTTATTTATTTATTTTGCCTTTTTCTTTCTAATTCTTTCTTCCTTTCTTTCTTTCTTTCTTTTTCTCCCTGTTTTTGAAGCATGCAACATTTGCAAACTAGGGAACTCTGTAAGGATAGTCCTAAACCATCTCACATTGCCGTGCTGGTTTTGCCGTTGATCTTTTCGTCGCCTTATAAATGAAAGTCGCGCTACCTTTGACCGAAACATGCGCCTTTCTATTTTCATGTTTCGTCTGTGAAAAAATTACATTCAAAGCGGCCGAAAAGTGGAAATTGCAATATAAGTAGCAAAGAAAACAATCTAAATTAAGCAAGATTTGCTTGGCGATTATTTTTAAGAGGATAGGATGCGTTGGCGCCGGTACGATCTTTTGTTTACCGTGTATCCTGCACAACGTCTTATTTGCCCAGGGTCTCTTAATAAGGGGGTCTATACATTGCGGTTGATTTGTCTTTAGCTGCGCCCTTGAACAGCCGGGTTTTTTAATTGCTGTGACAGTCCTGTCAAAGACCCAGAGATGTTGATGCCGTTATTAAGGCCATCTCAGTTTAATTGTGACATGTAAACCTCAAAGATCTTGTTAATATCTAAGGAATGTGATCAATGATTCTAATCCGGAACTCTGTAAGATTGCGTGACCAAAAAACCCTTTACACACAGTGTGCAACTGAAATAGTTTGCATGCTACCGAGCCGGAAGAGTTATCTCTTGGCACCAGAATTCTGTGGTTTCCCCCGTTTCCGATATTTTCCTTTCCTTTGACGCAAAATAAAAATTGCCATAATATTAGCTACAAATACAAACCGTAAAATCATTAATTAAAATCTGATACTGTGAAAACGGAAAAATTTTGCCGCAGGGTGAAATCTTCCTCAGCTGATAGAGACACTCATTTCCTTGCTCAGAAATGACTTCGATCTTCGATTCGATCGTAAGAACATGCAGATCGTTAATAGTTCTTCGATTTACAGGTTTTCATTGAGGAAACTCCAGACCTGATCAAGAAAACTCCGACTAGTGTAATTTTCACTAGCGGTGGGCTGATGATCATTAATTAACCTCTTGGCTAATTGTTGAATATGGGTTTTTGATCTACAGTTGATTGCTCTTTTCACTGCTTACGCGATCTATATTGTAGTTAGGTATATTCTACTGTAAATTTAGCTATTTCGAGCTATCTTTCCACCAACTGAGCGAAACATTACGCAGTTTGAGCAGACATGTCTTCGAGATCTTAGCATGCTCTGATACCAATGAAATGTTAGTAAAATTGTGATCTGTTGCTAACAACGAGCCAATCGTTCTCCTATGCTAAATCTAAAGTAGTTCCTGATGCAACAAAGTACTCACTCTAAGCAATGGAGAAACTGTTTTTAGCAAACCCCATTTTTTGTTTCATCAGTGGAAACCAGATTTCCAGTTTTCATTTTTTCCTCAATGGGTGTGGACCGGTTCGGAACAGATTAAGGCACAACATTTGGTGCCTTTCAACAACTGAAGCGTCAAGAAACCTCTGTCGGAACTTATTTCAATATGCAAATTTTCAGCGTTTCTTTCACATCCTTAAAAAGCAATACGAATCAAACGAAAATGACACCAGTTACAGATCACTACAGCTGTGTTTCAGGTATAATTCAACACAGCTAAAAATATCGCTTCAGTTTTTAATTAAGGGTGTTTTGATCAGAGGAAATAATCCACAATCATCTTTTTTAATGTATTGGTAAATGATCATGAAGCTAAGCTAAATAGAAAATCGCTAGGTTTTTTTTTCGTCGCTAATTAATAGCACGAACCGACATATTTTCTCGTTAATAACTATTTTCCATGGCCCTATCTTGTGGCTCACAATTAGAAATAAGCGGCATAGAACTTTTGTAAGATAATTTTTTTTTTTCACTTATATTCAGATGAAGCTAAACTTCGCTTACTGCCTAAACTGAAAATGCAGCATAGAACAGAAATATAGAATTGCGAATTTTAAGTCCAGATTCAAATAGCTTTCTCGCATTTATATCTCTCTATTATCAGCGGTAGCGGCTTTCGTTATCAGGATTAACAGTGCGTCCTTGAGCAAAAATCTTATCTCGTTCCCTTTTAAGCCTTTATGTCTTTTTTTTTCAGCCACATGGCTGGTTTCTTTGTTTTGGACATGCACACAGCTTGGGTTTAAAGTTTTTTCCTTTATCAGCAACCAGATCCACTGAAAACTGACCTTTTCTTAAAAATTATCCGGCTGGCCTTTCTAGTAATACCCACGTCAGTTTGCAGACTATTTCCGTTCCGTTTTAACAAACAAGCAATTAACATTTTGCGCTAAAATTGAAAAAAAGGAATGCTTTTAGAAACATGATTGACGTTTCAAAATTGGTCTGTTAGCGTCAGACGCAAATCAACGCAAACTTAAAATGAAATTTTAAAGAAGTTTTCCAATGTTTGCGGTGCCGAAAATTATTCTTTTAATTAACAAATTCATCGGCACTTTTTCGTTTTGCTTCTCAATTTACTTTCTTCCTCCTAAATTGTCACACAATTTAAACTTAACCTTTATAATTTACGCATACATATTAAAAAATCAGCTGATACGAGCTTTCTCAAGAGCGGCTCGTTTGTGGGTGAAATAAAAAGCTGAATAATTCTCTAAAAACTTTATCGGCTTCCATAGAAAGCTACTCAGACAATTCTCAGTGGGAAACCCTCCCGACTAATATCTCAGCGTTGTCCTCACTAAAACAGAAATGACGAAATATATATTATCATATCTAATAAGTTCGAAGCCATGTTTTTCATTGATTAGAACCAGTCATCCCTTTTAACCTTAACTTTTTTCTGATAATTATCTCTTGGACAAAGTGTCTCGGATTGGAAAGTGACATGAAAGAGGGAAGTTTATTAGACATTAAGCCATTAGATTCATTATCGGCGCAGAGACTTCATGCAAAAGAGCTTCTAAACTTACCCTAGAATAAAACAACGACCAATAACAATAGCTATATCTGAAACATGAACATGGACATTTCATTTTCAAGAGGACTTTGTTGTTAATAAGACTAAGATAAACAGTTGTTCACATTCCTAACTCATCAATGGGCTTGAAACCAGAGAGAAAGCATAACTTTCTTCTCGACAAGATCACAACGCCTCCATAATTACATGTTCATTCAAAATTACTACAGAGCAAAATTGACCAAAATAAAACCCTTGTTGTAATAAATCAGTCATGCGGTTGGTTGAATGAGTTGAATATCAACAAAGCACTTCAGAAGTTTACACATCCCGTGAGAAATGATTCGCAAACACAACTATAGCCTAAATATTTTTGAGAAAACAAATTACGCGGACTTAATGAAGTTGTCTTATAGAGCGGAGGCAACGTTTCTCTTTTCACGAATGATCTAGTAGCGTACAGAAGTCGAGTTGAACATTTTTTGGCGCGATTTCCGGTTGAAAAAGCGTAGGATATTAGGGTGCGACCGCGTCACGTCGAGAATGCCGATTATGTCCCAGGCATGCGTGGCGTGAAAAGTAACGCGAGCGCGAGCGTATTTCACGAAAAACGAAATGCTGGTCAGTTGTTCCTTTGCTGAAAGAAAGACGCACGGACAGTTATAGCCGGAAACTGTCTGTTTCTTAATTTTACGTCCAAGATGTTGCTTTTGCTAGCGTCAATGTCCTGCATTATTCAGCATTCCTTTGGCTATAACATAGAGACAGAATTACCAGTCATTAGGCGAGGGGACGCGGGCAGCTATTTTGGATTTTCGGTCGCGAACCATGCATTTGAACAGTTCCTTGACCAGAAGAATCAGTCTTGGTAAGAACACAGCTTCGTTTTCCCTCCCTTCGCTCAACTTGTTTGTAGTTTACACTGAATTCTCTCTGTAATCTTTGTAGGCTTCTTGTCGGTGCGCCAAAAGCGAATAACTCGGCCGTGCCAGAAATTGCTAGTCCCGGCGTTGTGTACCGATGTGATTTTAGGAATGATCAAGGTTGTGAAGAAGTTCCATTTGACAAGAAGGGTAAGTTCAAGTTGATATGTGTTTTGCAGTCGTTCTCTAGACGTATTTTGATTCATAACAGGTCCGAGAAAAATAAACTGTAGCGCTGTGGAATTCCATCACGATCGCTGTAGTCACGGAGAGTCGCCGTAGCTATGAACGCAACCTTTTGTGCACGTTTGCGATGTCCTAAATTCCATTGGAATTAGTTCTGCCATTATTTTAAGCCGGTGTTCCAAAAGTTTAAACACTACCTACAGTTTAGAGAACAAAGTTTATTGTAATAGCACTGGAACTTCACTGAACTATAAGCTTAACCTTAAATTTGGTCAGTCATGAAATTTGGATTTTCTTGTAGCAAAATTTTTTCTGAAAGGACGCAAATTGAACAGATTTATACCAAGGAAACGTAGAATTTTATTTCACTTTACCTTTTTAAAGTCTTGTTCAGGTTATTAGTTTTATTTACTCTTCAAGGGAAAAACTATAAAAAGGAAGCCCTTCTATTCACAATGCTAGCAATATGCGGTTCGTGGTTCATGCTAAGTGTACTTCGAATCGTGATCGCTTATGTCAATAACGCCTGCTAATGCAGGCAAAAACAACTTTGTCAAAACAAAACTCCTTTTCTCTTTATAAAGTACCAGAAATCTGATACTTCTAGTTGATTTTCATTCATGAGTGTGCAAACTATTAAGCTTTTTAGCGAGCCACTTCGCGCGCAGAAGGAGAGAGATGTGGAAGTGATATTCCATTACTTCATTTAGGTTCGGTGACAAACTTTTCCAAAGCCCTTGTTGGCTTTTTCATTGAGGACTACCTTTGTTTTTACGTCTGCCCACCGGGGGTTAAATTAATGACTTTTCTTCTTTTGTACCAGCTGCGAATAAGTGACCGCTTGGAAGAAAATTTGTATGACTATTTACTGACCAATTCTGTGTGTCTCCTTTTCATTTAGTAAACAAAGCGAAACACAGGTGATGTTTTTATCGCATTTCTTGTCAAAACGTCAGTCCATTCTCTGTTTTAGGACAATATCGATTATACTGATATTGTTAAATGAATTCATTTTTGTGGCTTTACGCACGGCAGATGTTAATGTTTGTGTGATTTTGAACCAAACTTTCCATTAAAGTTGGTCAGTTATTATAAGCTTACACGCTCATACATGCTCGCTCTCTCGGTCCATCTTCACTATTTTTGAAAATTTTACAATTCAGTGCGTATTCAAGTTAAGTTTTACTGTCTACTCAAAATAAAATAATTTTCAGTAGGTTATCGAGAATATTTTGTATTTTAGGCTCACTCCATCTTTTTGGAGTCAATAAAATAATGGCACTCAAAGCACACCAGGTCGACGGATTTATTTTTAGAATGTTTAAAGGTTTCCATTTCCAAGTGAACTTTTTAATCAACACAGATCGCGAATTCCCTACGTTTACTTCAGTAGAGGGCCTAAAATTAGGCCTTTATAGTCCATTATCTACTTTTCTAATGGAAAGATCTTTTCATCTTTTGGTGAATACGTCTTTTTGTTTTGATGGTTTGCTTTCTCCTTTACCTCATTAACTTTTGCCCCCCATAAATCCTCTTTGTGCCATCGTAAATATGTTTTACATTGTTCTCAGAGGTGACATGACAGCCAGAAATTGGAAAGATATTGTTTTCAACCAATCAGGGATTTGGCTTTTTCCCTGTCCTTGGAAAATATTTTTTTGATTGACAGTGGGGAATAAGCTGTCTAATGATTTTTGTAGTGAACAATATCCTTTCTCCATTTTACATTTTAATTATCCATGCTAATTGTAGCAGTTTCTAATATACATGGCATTAAAACATACAAATCCCCAGATGTGATATTTCAAAAATCAACTATTTACTTTGTAGAATGCAATACAATCGATTTGTTATATGCATTCTAATATTTTTATCTCTATTGTGGTTGTCTTTATTTATTCCTATTTTGAGTTTCGTTTGGTTACATTTATTATTGATCTTATCATTTCTTTTCTCTCTTATCTGTAAATAGACAAGGGTACACAGCTTTTTAATACAAAGAACATATTTGTTCAATTTTTATCACAAGTTTTTAAAACAAAGAACATATTGGTTCAATTTTTATCAGACACGACTTTCTAAATTGAGGTTGACATGATGAATTATGCTTATATTACCATATCTGCACTATCTTTCCAATAACCCAGTGATGCCACTTTTGGCAATCTACAACATCACTGGGATATGCAATTCCCAGCATGAACCCACCACCTCCTGGGATTCGATCCCAGAGCCACCTGGAACCCCTCTTACTATCATTATAATAATGGTTATTTACTCTGTAGGTGGTACATAAGCATAGACAGCTTTTCTCAAAGAGTGAATATCATATTTAGCAGGGGGTAATCTGGAAGTCAAATTTTTCAATTATTTTACAGGATATTAAAAAAAGTTCGCCAGATTGAAATTAGAAATGATAAATGGACGTTTGACTGTAGCTAGCTAGCTAAGGAGTGGTTTGAATTTATAACCTTTTAAATGTAGACTTGAATGGTTAATATTTTCATCACTGTTTTTACTAGAAATGTCCCTTACACTATATGTAAAAATTTCAGTAATTAAATATATGCTGAGTAGCATTTCTGACATTGTAGTTGAGTCATCTGTATTTGTAAGGAAAAGGAAATTTGGAGAAATGAATATTACAATGCTTGAAGGGATTTTTAATTGAATGAATTATTGATGAGTGAAAGAGAGAATGAAATAATAAGGGAAAGAATGAATGAAAGTTTTAACTGACTGTTTGATTGTCTGTCTGGAAAAAAGTAAACTACACAACCTGGGAATAATCCTGCAGAGGACTTAGTAGTGTCCCTGTGGCAGATCTTATTCTAGGGGGTTTGGGGAACCCCCTGAATTAAAAATATGAGACATTACAATGTGCTGACTTGGCGTCAGAATGCTGGAAAATCCCATTTCTGGGGGCCTTAATTTTAAGGATTTCCAGGTGAGGATTTCCCTGGAACCCCATACAGATGACTGCCTTTGGTGGTCAGTATCACAAACTCCTGTATCCACTCCAGCGTCTTATTGTAATAGAGGGTAGAATACTTCTAGCCTTTTATGCTAAGGAAGCAGGAGACTAGCATGGCATCTTTGGGAAGTAGCAAGTCTAAGACTGTGATCTCATAAACAGGGATAAGCTTCTACAATGGTATTGGCCACCTTCTCTAACTGCAGATTTAACTTAATGTTAAAGGACATCTACTTTCAGTACATGACGTATCATTGTAATTGTGATTTTTTTCATTTTTCAGGTAACACTGCTGGAGATAGAAAGGACAATGCATGGTTTGGAGTTTCTGTTATCAGTTCAGGGTACAATGGTTATGTAATGGTCAGTAAACCAAATTACTGCAATTCAGTACTACTGTAAAACTAACTGTTTTTTTATGTCATGAGGTCACAGAGGTTGTTGAATGGCTAACTCAGCTTTCCCATAAGAGAAGCTGTTATTTCAATTATAATTGCAGGAATGCATAATTTGTTCCCTGGCTGGGACCTTTTTACTTGTTAATTGAAAGTTTGTGCCGTTGTCTGGCCAGGACCGTTTTACTGGTCAGTTGTATTACCAACCCAAAGTTCCATTCAGACAAGTGCATGTACGATTATTATTTTGTTAATTTGCCAACTTTCCAAATCAACAAGTAATTTAGACTGCCATCCAATTCCAATTTGGAAATAATTGAATTCAAAAATTCCTCTGACAGCCAAATTTGAGTTGGCCTATGGCCCCGCCTAGCTTTGGCTGTCGGGCCTCAGAATTTTTTTATTAAGTTAATTCTAAATTGGACGCCATCAAGTCCTACTACGTAATACATGTACCCATAACAATATACATTTTTGAAGCTGGCAAGTTGAGCCCATCCTGCAAGGGAGCATTGGCTGCTTTAGTGGGCAAGATGAGACTGTTGTATTCACTCAGGATTCCCCAGCATGTCCCGCAAAATGGTGTTCTTTAAAATGCCACATCATTGATAAATCTTTTATTGATTCACTAAACCTGTTTAGCCAAGCCTCGCCTCTGTCCCAGTTCGCAAACCTGTGATAATAAGAAATAACAGTTACTTTTAATTTCTAATATCCAGCCATCTTAAATTCACAAAATAATGATCAATCACACAGATTGCAGATAGTTGTTTTAAGCAAGGAACTTGATGATCAATGCTAACATGTATGCTAATGAATGTGCAATTTTTCTTGGGGAGAGCAGTCAGCTATACACTGACTACAATATTTAACCTATGTTGTTATATTTTATATCTAGGCATGCACTCATCGATTACTCCACATAGAAGGTTCATTTTATACATATCCCGGTCGATGCATTGGAACGGCAAGCCTTGAGGGGAATATCTTAAGAACGATAAACTATGAAACCTGTGAACAGAAAAATCAAAGTAAGCAAATTCATTTGATTTTAGGGCACTCAGAGCTGCAGAATAGGCCATTTCCAAGTTGCCTTTTACCTCTGTGTCAAAATGACACTATGTGCGAAACCATTCATATGAAAGTGAGTTCTGCCTACAAGTTCATTTTCAGGCAAATCAAACTCATTTTCATGAGATAGATTTTGCATGAAGACTCCTTTTGAAACTGAGGCACAAGGAAATTCGGAACTGGCCTATTCACGGGGTTCATGGTTTTCTCTGACCCATGTCACTAAATTTTAAGGCTTATGTCTTTGGGAAGGGTCTACTTGTAATTTACAGGATATGACTAACCACTTACCAAATTAGATGTGTAAGTTATATGTTTCTGATATCATTTCACTCTTGCTCGTTGATCTTTTTCTAGATAAAGCTAATCGAGGAGGTCCAGATACAATCAATTATAAAGAGCATAAATATTGTCAAATGGGGGTTGCTGCTTCTTTTTTAAAGGTGAGCTACAATCCATAAGTCAGAGTAGAATTTTTTTAATTGAATTTGAACTGTGGAGTATTTTGGTTTGGTGAAAATTGCTGTTGGTTCAGACCCAGAAGTTCTTCCTTCCCTTTTTCTCTCCCACTTTTCCTACCACCCACCCTGCTGATTTTCCTCCCTCCCTTTCATTCTTTTTCTCCCCTTACCTCCTTATGCCTTCCTTTTGTTTCTTCCTCCCTTACTTTATTTCTTTATATGGCAAACAAGAACAATGTATGGCAAACAAGAACAATGTAATTTGTTTAAGGTTACTTCCCACCTTCAGAGGCCAAAAAAATCGTTTTTTCTTTTATTTGACAAAATTTAAGTTCGTCATTTTATCTAGTGTTTCCAAAAGAAAAACATTAAAAATCTCAAAAAGCGGCCGAGTAATTTAGAAAAAACGTATTTTCAAATAAAGTTAATAAACTAGGAAGGTGTCACAATCTTGTCAACGGGCGA